ACCACTAGGTTTTGAGTTCCACTCCCAGCTTCGGCTATCTCCACGTGATGGGTCCAAACCAGGACAGGACCGTCGGTCGTGGGTTGTCTGTTTGGAGGAGTAATACGGAAACTGCTTGACTTCCATCCTGGACGGGTTATGCAGTACAGCCGATGAGCATATCTGAGTGGCGTAACACGCCGCAGATTAACTATGCTTGTGTTCGTCGATTTCACTTGCTAGTTTGACTCGGTCGCTCTCTCCGTCCTCTTATACATGCATACATTCTTTTTTCTTTCCCGTACTCGATTAACAGGTCACTTCAGGGTCTATGTCGAATTGTCGGACATCTTTCCGTAAGAATTGTTCAGTTTCTTCACTTCACTTGACCTTTAGCACAGACTCCACCATGGCTTGTTCACTTCACGGATATCACGATGCAGCTATTTAAGTACTACCCGGGGAAAGCGAGCTGATCTGGATTATGCGCACGGTATCGCCTTGTTTTTCAACTACCATGAGTCGGCACATTTTTACCCCGGTTAAACTTTCCGTACTCAAATTCTTCGAGATGCTCTTAGCGCCTTCAAAACGCAAAGCACCGTTGTAGCCTGCGCTTGATTCATGGTAATGCGAAACCGGAACTAGTCTATCACTTCACCTAGGGTGGCTACATTGGTGGCGATGCGTGCGTTGCTGCTGAATCATTTAGCCTATTGTGAAAGTTAGAACTACATCTATGACAACGGAGGGTAATTGCTCTCGGACTGAACGATCTTGTGCACTGAATCACAGTGAGGGCCATTCTACCCTTTGTGAGTGCGATTTGGCCCCTCGGTTTGTGGGCCTAAAGCGCCTTCATTTCTTTCCTTATTATTGCCTATAGAGTGATTCGGGTCTCCGGTGGCACAATCGTGCCCGCAACGATGTGCGGTGATTCTCGGGTTCATTCTTTAGAGTCACGATCATCATTAAGTAAATTACATTAGTCCGATTTCTGCCACGCATATCTGCTTACTTAGGAAAGACTTGTTTTATTTGACAGATGGTGTGTGGCCCAAAACTTGAGGATAGCAATAGTTGGCTCCTCAGTACTGGGTGAATTCGTTGACGACTAAGCTGGGTACTATCGGTCCGTCTCACCTTTCAGATTAGAGTCCATACGTCGCACCTTATACTTAGGCCGAGACTTTACAGAATACAGCTCGCAGTGGAAATCAGTGACTCGTTAGATATCGCTTCCTAATCGAAATATCTGCGCGTGTCTGATGCCGTTTTATTTATTTGGCATAACAGGGGGCAATGAATGCCACTAGTAGGCTGCCTCGCAAATGCTGACTTATCTTATCATGATAGCCAACCATTTGTGACCTTTTTTACTGACAGCGTATTTAAGTTTTTCATTACGTCTCTTTCCTCCCGTCGGCCAGTCATGAGGCGTCTGCCGTTTAACCCCTAAGTCACCGCTTCGGATCCGCGTAGGTGCGAGCAACTTCGCAGTATCCCTCTTGCCGGCGCTCAGCTGGTGGTGGTCGCGGAGCGCCGTTGGGACGCACTTACGTGTACTGCTGATGCTCTTTCTCCCTTCCTAGTATTCGTCGTTGTTAAGGGTATCACGGTTGTTTGACCGCAAAGTATCACTTCCATTTACTAATGTGCTATTGTAAATGGTCAGGAAAAGCCTTAGGCCCTTACACGGTGCGCTCGTTCGCACATTGTTTTGCTGAGTTAAAGTGCTAGAGAATGTATTCACTAAGTTGATTGTGCCTATTCACCGTTATCTCATCGGATATTCAATGAGGTGTGTGGCTGTCTCAGTGGAGTCGTTGGTTCACATCTTAACGCTTCCTTATTTCCTACTTGCCTCCTGATGATTTTTAATTTTGCTCCTTTGGCTGAGACGATATAGTCAACGAATTCGACGTGGGACGCGTCAAACATACAGTTAATAAAGTATAAACGCATGCCCACTTCGCTGAGACGCTGCAACAACACAAGCGCAGTTATCATAATCCGATCAAGAAGTGGTACAGAGGCGCCTCACTCATGTATTCGCATAAGTTGTGGATTTTGTATTAAGCTAGGGGCTGTTAGTAGTCACGAATATCGTCAAAAGTTTTGGTTTCGGTCTTTGTTGGTATATACAAGATTACTTACCGTAGATCCGCTACCTTCTTGGTTTAGTTCATATATGTTAGAAACACAACTCGAGCAACAGGCGTGTTTGGTCGCGTGTATTTGGTGCAAGAAAAGCGAGTGAAACGCTCAGCACTCTTATATCACGCACCACACTCTGATGACTGTACCACGTGTTGCGCATGCCAGCATACCGACTCTTGCGAAGTGCGTTGTTTACGCGACCGGAGTCTGGATAGAAGCAGAGGAGAGGAGGCCAAGCGATGAGCTAGTCAAGATGACTGAAACCCCTCACGTCGCTTGGTCTCTCCTGACTACCGGGCTAGGGTCCGAGTGATCTGCACGCCTTCCTTTCGATCATAAGATCACTGGTTCGAATCCGCGTATGGGCGGGCGTCCTCTCGGTATACTCAGCCGACGCGCGACTGGTGGTGGTCATACGGCAGCGAAGCGCCGTTACAGCGTACAGCTGACGGTTTATTCTATTTATTTAGGGTCCGAAGGACGATAAGCACCATTGGCTGGTTACACTTGTTGACATGGCAATTATTTGACTTCAGTGACGTTTTGTGTTGTGAATATCTTTGCACCTTTTCCATTTAACTTCTCTTGCAACCACAATCTCCATGCGTAGTATGATACTTAGCATTACATTGCTTTTTTGGTTTTCGTTTTGTAATGTGTAATGTTCAGTATACTCTTTTCTGTATCTCTCATCCTTTTTATATTGCAACACCACAGCAGGGGTTTTTCTCCCCTGAGGTTGATCTGTCGTGATAATGATGAGGATGAAGCTGCTGCTGCTGCTTCTGCTGTGGTGGTGGTGGTGATGATGATGATAAGGAGGATGAATACTGTATTGTGGGAGCAAGTAGATCTGTACACCTCTATCGGAATATAAACAAACATGTCAAAAAGTGTCCGCCCCCTGTTGACACTCTAAGCGTTCTTCCATTTCTTATGTAGCATTTAAACATGTCTGACTTACAGTGTCATTGGGCTCACAAATCTACGAGGTCCGTGCCAATGTACAATGGTCTTCCGAATCGAATGGTGGTGAAATGTAAATCCAACAACCCTTTGAACTGCTGTACAGATTTAGTGTCCATGAATTGTTCTGGCAGATTGTTTCAAACCTTTATTACTCTTCGTTCGAAACACATATGTGGGCACTAGCTCTATCTCAGGCACCACAAGCTTCTACCGATGTCCGCGTGTGCTGCTTAGCCTTTGTAGCTGAAGCAGCAGTTTTACATGGGGAGTCACCGAGATGTGATATGCGGTTGGACACAACGAGATCAACCTGCACCCGACGATAGAACAATGTGTACGGTCCTAGTATGTCGTACCGGTCTTCTCACGGTAATCCTCGTAAACCAGTAATGAGCCTGGTAGCGAGTCGTTCGATCTACTGTGCCTCGATTCGGGTGATTGGGCATTAGCCGGGCGAGCCGTACTCTAGTATTGGTCTTATGATGGAAGAAGAGGCGAGTGACGACCTCTTCAGATCAAATTCAAAAGCTGTATGTGATGGCCCATAGCATGCCCAGTCTATTGCGATATAGCCTGTTCGTGTTATCCTCGGACTTCAAGTTGCAGCGCAATAGTACACCTAGCTCATTCACTGAAAGAGTGGGATGCAGTGTTAGGCCTTCAATGGTTTACTTTCGGGCATCACCACCATTCCCCAGGCTCATGAATACCGATTTGGTTGGATTGATTGGGAGGCGGATCTCTGCGGACCACACGCAGAGGCGGCTGAAGTTTTGCTGAAGTAAGCCGCAGACATCTGAGGTGCTAACCACTCTCCAAATCTTAAGATCATCTGCATAAGGCACATGGCGACCGAAAAAGCTGAGGCGGATCGTTGATGTGGATTAGGAACAGAGTGGGCCGCAGTACCGTACCTTGGGTTACTCCATTGGTAGGTAACCATCAATACGTACCTTCTACTTTTACCTACATGAAATGTCTTGGATTTACAGGTGCAGTGATCCACCAACAGTGCATTCTCTCAGCTCGTAGAGGAGGACTTGATGGTTCACCCTGTCGAACGCTTTGCTGAAATCAATGTAAGTCGCGTCGGCAGCTTCCTCCTGGTTTACTTCTTGCAATCATTCATTTCTCGTCACCGACAGGATAGTAAATCATTAGTGGCCTAGCTTAAAACCGTGCTGTGCGGGCGTCAATAGGTCTTTTGATTGGATCAGCTGTGATAGATCGTCCTTCACGATCTTTTCGACAACCTTGGCCAAAGTGGTTGTCAAACACATTGATCTGTAATTGCCCACTTGGTTGGGGCCACCGTCTTTCGGAATCGGCCATACCACCGAGCATTTCCAATCAACCGGCAATGAACCTTCGGACAGTGACCTGTTGAACAAGTCCGTCACGACAGGCGAACTCAGTCAGATGTTGGCATACTCTAGACCTACCTGTAATGCTGCCGTATATCGGACGAATACATGGTGGTTTTTTCACCACAAGCTATCCATACAACAATTACAGGTTGTTATGCACATGTTCAGAACTGTTTGTATTGAAACACAAGCAAGTGGACGCACTCGAGCAGGACAATCAGTTAATTTGGTTGTCCTCTCTTCGATTTTTCCTAATTGTGATGATAATAGCTTCAAGTCTCACTAGTGAGGCAAAGCGGGCAGAGAACTGAGCAGGGGGCATCTGATTGTTTTCTTCTGGCACTCTGTGCACCCGGGCACTGCCCCTTTCCACACCCATTTCTGACCTCCTTAATAAATCCCCTTTGCTAGGTGCTTATGTAATGCTGTTCGTGAGGATTATGCTGACCTTTGACATCTTCTTGCACCCACTACTGATCTCCTACCTTTTACTCAACCAGTCGATTGTATTTTTTGTGATTCTAGTGCTTCTCGAAGCCCCCTACGCATCAACGAACAGGAAATTCAGGTTACTTTCAGCACGTCGAGACGCATCATTCAACGTGCTGGTGACAAAAGTCCTCAAGATCTAGTTTCCGAGACCATGGAGAATCATGTTCTTCTTTATACAATATTCAACGTTTGCCACCCGGTCACCATTGACGTTATCAGACAAGTCACAATGCCCTACGGCACTGTTGTTCGCATTGTGATGTTTCGTAAGACGCAACTTCAGGTAAGACTACTTGAGCACTTGCTATCATCCTTCGTTGGTTTTCAGGCTATGGTTGAGATGAAGACCATAGACGAAGCGCGCCAAGTAAAGCGGAATATCAGTGGTGCTGACATTTTTTCCGATTGCTGTACTCTTAAAGTGGATTACGCTCGTCCCACACGGTTGACAGTTTTGCGGAACGATGCCGATTCATGGGATTATGAGAAGACCGGTCCAGCTTTGTTGGATGTCTACCCGACTAACGGACATAGGACCAGCGGTTCTTTATTGGGTACTTTTCGCTTTCTTTTATCTTGTTTTTAGGTTGCTACCGTGATCATTCTCAGCCACAGGCGCAGCAACCACTTGGTACAGACGCATACTTGTATTATCCGTCTCCGTTGAACCGCTGTCTCATTGACCGCCCGCAAGAAAGCGAATTATCGACATCTCACTCGCAGACCTCCGTGGCAATGATGTACAACCTGGACAAAGAACGAATGAATTGTGATCGGTGAGTATGTGTTCTGGTTCATGATCTTTGAGGTACGCATGTTCCAAATGTTACACCGAGTGGTGCTCAGACATCGTTAGCCTCCTCCTTTCCGTGTTTCTCGTTGTTTCATGGATGGTGAACTGGACGAATCACACGTATTTATCCACTTCTGCTGGGTACGCGATGCTATTGTTGCGTAATGCAATTATCCAATTATCACATCCGCATAGGCTTCAGTTGCTGTGCCGAAAATTCCATAGACCATCCGTTACTAGCATATTGCTCATTTTCCACCTCATATACTTCGCATCGACAGTCAAAGGATACCTGATATACCTATGGCGTCGTGACCCACCACCAAATGAAGTCACTGCCCGTTGCTTAATTTTGAAGTACCTCAGCTTCTTCGGTCGTCTTGCGTATTATTTGCAGATGACCTGAATATTTGGAGGATTATTGATTCTCCCGGCGACTGTGACGTCCTTCAACAGGACCTCGATTGCCTATTCCGGTGGTCTGCAGAAGTTGACCTACCGGTCAACACGGTCAAGTTCTCGTTTCTGATTCTGGGGAGGGGTAGTAATGGGCGTGTGTACACCCTGACCGGCCACCCGTTGCATTCCACCAGTTCCATAAAGGATCTAGGCGTACTCTCACACTATGATCTGAAGTCTGTCGACAACACGAACAGACTGTACGCAAATGGACTACGCCTGCTTTGGGCACTTATACTCAGCTTCTGCACTTGATCTGAAGAAATTCCCAACCGTCAGTTCTTTTCCATGCTAAGGCCGGTGCTTGAGTACGGCTCACCCGCCTATTATCCGATCACAATAGGTGAGGTGCAGAGACTGGAACGTGTCCATCATGTAGTTACCCGACTCATCCCCAGTTTACGGGGTATGTCGTACGAGGACCGATGTAGGAGACCAAGGCTTTATACCCTGTCATATCGTCGGCTTCGAGTTGATCTCATAATGATGCACCGGATACTGCACCTGGGCCACTTCCCTATGTTAAGGCCGCTGCTAAGCGTTCTCGCACCAAGCAGCACACTCTGACACCGGTACATACTGGTGGTACCGGATTTAAAGCGCATCGCTCGCCCTCTATGCTTCGAGCGTCGAGTGGTGAAATATTGGAACAACTTGCCAAAGACGCTAGTTGAGGCGAAGTCGGTGTCGGAGTTTAAAAGCTCGCTTGCCACCCACTTTGCGGACTACAGGTATAGGGAGCTTATCGCACCCGGATAAGATGTGGTGCAGCTGCAATATGCTGCCAGCCTCCGTGGCTGAAACGGAATTTAATTCATAATCTTGTCAGTAGAGCAGAAAGAATCTGCTCCTATGATACACTTTCAGATGTACTTCAGCGATAACCGGTATCACAAGCTGGTACGATCATCGGAGTCAGCGGCAACTTTCACTTCACGGAAAGCCACCGCAGCGGGTCCTTTGTTTGTGTCGTTGCTCCAGTGCTTGTTGAAGAACCAACTTGTGATCAGTGCATTTTTTCCAGGTTGACAATTAGCCTGGCTCACCCTACGGCTATTACGAGGAGCACTGAGCCGCTGCAGTACATTACCTGTGGGATCCTTGGAGGTGATGAAATTGGATCCAATTCGGTGTTTTTTCCCCCCAGATTTTCGCGATCCCTTTTTGAGTGCGGGCATGATGTTTGATGGTTGTCAATGTGAAAGTCTGTTCATAGTCATCTTCATTTGTTGACTCAGACCACGCTCTTGTCGTTGCGAACATCTACATGAGTTTCAGAGAGTCTCTGAAAATAAAGCATTGTAAGATAGCTACGAATGAGCTATCTACTCTCTCGGTCCAGTGAAACTATCAATCTTCCCTGGTTGATTCACTCAGCTACGACCCACCGCAAGCCGTTGATGAAAACTGGACTTTCATGCAGAGGACCATGATCTCTTCCGGGGAGTTAGTCTGGGGTCTTACTCGGAATCCTATGAAGGCATGGATCTTCACGCGCTCCGTTGCTCTATTTGACTGCTGCAGGAATATCCGAGCGGATTCTAATCATAATAGTGCGCCGTTCTGTCACTCGGAAGCTCAAACAAAGCCTACGCAGTTATCCTGAAACCTGGTGGTCTCAACATGTTTTGGAAATGGAGGCAGCTGCCCTCGCTATCAATACTCGCAAGCTCTTCCGGGTCATTCAGTCCACTGGCCACAGAAAGCCTGGTGTCAGTTCGACTATTTGCGAGGCGGAAGGTTCGCCGATTGCCAACCGACAGATACGCTTGAATCGATAAACCGAATATCTTCATTTGCAATTCAGTTGGCCCTCACCCTCCCCCTATATTCCCTCCGAATGCAGCTACCCGCCCTGGGTTGTCACACCTGATTCATTCAGCGAAGTGGAAGTCTCTCTTGCGACTCGACACCTGAAACTATTCAAGGCTGCCAGCTCAGACGGACTTCCTCCGGAACTGTTATCATTAGCCAGTTAACCTTATTGTTCTTTAAAATCTGGCGTGAAGGAAAGGTATTTTCCTCCTGGGACGAATCAGTTATTGTCCCCCATTTTAAGAGAAGTGCTCGCGTTTCATGTGCCAATCACCAGGAGATCATTTCGGTTGCATCCAAGCTATTGCCATTCATCCCATTTCGTAGACTGTCTCCCATTTGTGAATTGCAGTACCGGGAAGAACAAGCTGGCTTACATTCTGGTCGTAGGTGTGTGGATCAAATATTCATGCTCCGCCACGTCCTGGAAGACCGTTACACCTACCAGAGGCCTACCATCGTTGGTTTTTTAGACAGTCGTACTGCATTCGACTCGATTGATCGACCTGCGCTATAGCGCTACTTGCTAACGAACGAGGTCCTCGGAAATTACGTTGCCATCCTGCGTGCACTCTACATCCACATCTCCGGCAGAGTGAGTGTCTGTGTCAAGGTTTCGTCGTCCTTCGCTATCAAAAGCGATGTACGACGGGGCTGCCCTATATCCCCTCTCCACTTCAATTTTGCGATTGAAAACGTCCTGTCGAGAGCACAGGAAGGTTACCAACATTTTGGTCTGCAACTACTACCAGGCAAGCGTGCAACTGACTTAGGTTACGCCGATGACATTGCTTTACTTGGTGATGACTCGCAGAGTATGCAGCGGCGATTAAGTCATCCAGCTACGGAATGGGTTTCACCCTGTCGAGGTGATGTGCTGCTCCAGGGTTTTTCACTTGCCACTCTTGAAGATGCACAGCTCGAAGAAGTGGATAGCTTTGTCTACCTGGGCAGTTGCATGTCTGCTGGTGGCACTATTGAGAATTAGGTTTCCCTCCGTAGCGCCAAAGCTCAGTTGACGTTTGTCAACCTGAAACACTTGTGGCGTCGTCGGGATGTCTACCTCTTGGTAAAGCGTCGTGTTTACAATGCCACAGTTCGGGCGGTGTTGCTATATGGAAGCGAGTCTTGGCCAGCTCGCGTGGATGACATGTGCCTGCTATCGGCCTTCAACCATGGCTCCTTGACAATGATCACTCGTGTGTGGTGGCGGCAATGTATCTGCAGCAGTCAAGTCAGATGAGTATACCCTCCAACAAATTGGTTTTGCTGCGTCAGTTAATATGGTTCGGTCTCGTCCTACGTACTTCAGCTGAGCTTTTGCCCTATTGCGCCCTTTTCACTCGTACAGAACTTGATTAGAAGACCACGTGGCGGTTAGCCGTCCACTTGGCGACAGCATATGGAATCATTGACTTCATGTCTTGCTGCCTTTGGGTCCACACATCTGTCTGGTTGGGGACCAAAGGACGAGAAGTGACGATTGCTGGAAACAATTCAGGATATTGTTAATGGTACTGAGGAGACAATACGAAATGCTTGCATCTACCAGCCTTCGTCTTCTTACCGTGCTTTTCAAATTTCTGGTGAGAACTGCTTTAAAATTCAGGATATGGCGCGCAGTCGAAACCAGTGGAAGATCTGTGTACATACTTGTCTAGATTCAGATGCTTAATGTTTAACCATTCCAAAGGACAAAATATGAAAAAATGGCGTGCCAAAGAATTAACTAAATAGCAAAAGAGTTCCGTTCTTCCTGCGGCACTGAAGCGTTTTGCTCACCTTCAGCTAACGTGCCATAATGATGATGCGATGATTAAGCCTGTTTCCTTCTAGTGATTACCATGTTTTTTTGTCTCTGTCTATTCGTTGGACGGTTGCTACTACTACTACTACTACTACTACTACTACTACTATTACTACTACTACTTTTCGGTAGAGATGGAGGAATGTCGTCGAGTTCAGGAGCCTTGTTTCCTTTCACCTGAGTACTTTCATGCTGGATTTCTTCCAAAATGGGGAGCGTGATGTTAAATCCTTTAGTGGGTTATGGGGATTCAACCTGCGCTAGTTTTGCAGCAGGCTTGATGAACTTCTCTTCCAGATGGTCTGCCCAACTGACTGGTTTATGCGTCTATTGAATGACTTGCTGCGAATTTTCTTGGATCCGTGTTTCAGGTGAGCTGGTACAGTACATGGACCTTCCAAATCGTACCGGCTTCTCCCCGTTCCATAGCCCCTCACCACCGCTTCCTGTCAATACTACGACTTTTGATCAGCCATGGTTTTTAGGTGTTACGTTCATGCTGAAGCTAAGCATCCGACGATACTAGCTTAGTACTTCGATCAGACTTTACGCTTCAGAAATTCACCCACAATTTGGGAGGACAGAATGTTTTGAAAGCGTTCTTCATGGCACCTTTCGGGCAAATTCAGTTAACACCTGGCTAACCCTCATCTTCCGCCAGCAGTCTTACTAACCCACGTGCCACCTGTGGTGATAGTGTGGCAGCGAAACGCATTACCGCTGCTTGCTGATGCCTTGCTTCTGTTTATTCTTCAGATCATCGTGAAGTTCAGTGGACACCAGGTGATGCGATGTGGAGGCTTGTGCTAAGAAGCAGTTCTGATCAGCACGTAGAGGCAGCAAGCAATGGCCATTGCCCGTTTGGTGTGCTTCTTTCCCGAAACGACTTCCCAAGCGTTGTTCCTAGTTCCATAGGCGAATCATTTGATCTTTCACAACACTAACAGGAAGTGCGAACTTCCTATGGAATTCGCCTTGGAGCTGAAATCGCTTGGGGTATGCACGAGCACGATCGATATAAAGCTACCTCCTTGACACACAATGCTTCTCAACTTCTCGTGGATGTCCGAACTCGCATCACGTGTATGGGGCTGTTCGCCGGTATTCAGTTTAGTCGATTTTTTCCAACACCACTGCTATCCGGATTCTATGCGGTTGGTGATGTAATGGAGCGGCAACGAGAGAACTGTCTCATCGACACCGCTTTCGCTTAGTACAATGTGTCTTTAATGCTTTAGTGTTGAAGCGTATGACCTTGATCGTTTATCTTTCGTGCCATTATCAGCGTTTTATAGCGTGCCCATTCGTTCTTTCATCCCCTATTAATAGGATCGTGCTCCAGTTGTTGCGGTATGTCAGCGATGCACCAATTCAAAGCTTCAATGTGCCGCTACCTTTTCTAGTGATCAGTCTTTCTGGCTACTCGTCCACTTGAGGCCATCACTTATTATGTCTACAACCAGCTCATGTGATGTGCACCCATTCGCAGCCATTCGAATTCTCTCTCCTTATTACGCCTTATTACCGTTATGTCTATCAGCCAACACTTGTCGCCATATGTCATCCACTTGTTACTTGCTCTTTCTCCGTCCAACGTAGGCTTTTCAATCTACTCTGTCCTTATGGACATGTTGTGCGGATCAAATTTCTACTTTCCAACGAAGGCTGCGCCATGGTCCAAATGGGCGACACTCAATCGGTTGATCGTCTCATTACCCATTTATCCGGATGCACACTTATCGGTCGACCATTACTCGTAAGTTGGTAGATTTTTACAGTGCTCTCCGACTCGATTAGTATTGGTTCATTAGCTTTTGAGGTAACTAGTTTAATTTCAAAGGATATATTTTGTTTGTCTATAGGCATTTTCCCCTGTCTTTTCACGAGTCGGCAACAACAGCTATTGTCTCATTTGCTAACAGTGCCGTCCATGTTTTGCCATCATCATAACCTAACGACGATCATTGATTTCTGCGCAGCGCGATTCTTCACAAACCTACATGGTCCTTTAGATTGCACTAGGTGGCACGTTTCATGTGCTAAGATTCGGCGATGAAACAATTCAGCCAGCGCTTTTGTCGACGTGTTTCCCAAAAGAAGTTAGGGGAGAAGTCGATTATCCCACTCTGTCAAAATGCAGTCAAAGAGGACGATCAGTTTAATCAAATTGGAGCAGCATCGCCTACGACTTTTCCACAACGACGTGACAGCAAAACTGTTACCCACTTAATTGAGGTTCTTCGCAGTCAGCTTGCAAATCAGATAATCGTCCACATGCCCGGAAAAGCACTAGACTGCAGTTCCAGCCTATTGGGCATCGTCAGTAGTGCGCATCTATGGGATCCAACAGGATTCGAACCCATGACTACTAGCGGTTTGAACCACCAGTCAGTAGCTTATGCCACCGGGTCACGGGGGAAAGCTTAGGACCGTCAGGATTTACAAGCTAACTGCGACATAGCGCGTCTTATCCTCTATTGCCATGCAAGTTACGAACGTTGCAGAGGACAGGGTTGGCCCCGCAAGACACGACGTCCACTAACAGTAGCTATGTACAACATAGCATTTAGGGCGGGTGTACTGATTTGGAAGCTGACAGCGAAGAACCTCAATTATTTATATTAAAATCCCCTACTCATGAGTACATCAAAATATATCCGCCCTAACAGTTTCTAAATGCTATGTCGTACATAGCTACTGTTAGTGGACGTCGTGTCTTTCGGGGCCAGCCCTGTCCTCTGCAACGTTCGTAACTTGCATGGCAATAGAGGATAAGACGCGCTATGTCGCAGTTAGCTTGTAAATCCTGACGGTCCTAAGCTTTCCCACGTGGCCCGGTGGCATAAGCTGCTGACTGGTGGTTCAAACCGCTAGTGGTCATAGGTTCGAATCCTGATGGATCCAATGGATGCGCACTACTGAGGATTCCCAACAGGCTGAAACTGCAGTCTAGTGCTTTTTCGGGCATGTGGACGACTATCTGATTTGCAAGCTGACTGCGAAGAACCTCGCTTAATTATATAAAAATCCCCTACTCATGAGGATATTACTCATTTGTTCACTGATATCCGCATGGAAACGGGAAAACCTCTGGTCATTGAGCATGGTCGCAGATGTATCGCTTCTCGTGATTGAAAAATCTACGTTAGTGCTCCTAAACATACTAAGACCGCAGTTAACTGGTCTCCTACTGGTCCCCTTGGAAATACAATCACATTTCCTAGCTACGTTTGCTTCTCACCTTTTGTTCGTCGCGTTACTCCAACAAATGCTCATGTTGGGATCACCTCATCGCAACAAGACCGGACCTTAGCTTGGTGCTATGGTTTGCGAACCCTCGTCACCCATTGAGTTATGCTGGGTGGCACTTCCCAGGTGCCTTCAGAGCGACTCATACCAGACAGGTCAACGGTTAGGGGTCAAACTAAGTCTCACAATCGAATCCTCTTCGGAATTTAGAGAGATAGGTCGATGGCCCTCCTCCTTTAAAACCTAGGGATGGGAGACCACAGGTCTACGGATTATAAGCCGACAGCTCGATTGGCATAGAGCACGAGTGCCACGCACTGTCTCTGACCATGTGAGGGTATCTTCGGGTTCTCAATGGTTTGCTACCGCCCGCCTCAAGCCAGGTAGCTCCTGATCAAACTGATGCAAACCCATCAACTGCCATTTGCGGCTGGCCGTGATCGTAGATGCGTAACACCGTTGGCGGCATCCGGTTTCGGATTTGCCTGTCACTGTGGCCAGCCACAGGACGCCTGCACCTACAGAGGTACCATGGGTGGATTGCGCTGCACCACCCACAGCTCCAACCACACACCCCATATCCAGTGTAAATCCGAAGGAATAAGACCGGGAAGCATGTGGATGGGAGCCACGTTTCATCAACGGAACCGGCCCACACTCCTTTACAGGCAAACGCAAGCACGCTGTATTTGGGGAAGCAAGTGCACACAAGGCGGTGGCTGGACCGTAGTCCGCTCCACACTGAGTGCATGGAACCGCTCTTCGAGCCTAGCACGACTACAAGTACCTTGTACCCCGTCCCCTCCAGCAACGACCAACTGTCTCCTGGAGCCAGTATGGACGAGGTAGTGGGTAATAGACAGGTAGGCACCTTGTCAACATGCACATCAAGTGCAGCCACACCTGGGACGTCGTACAACAGCCAGTCAATTGAAAGGACATTATCAAATAAAATATATCTGTCAAAGCATACGGCTATGCCGACATAACTCTTCGCTAAATTCGCATATGAAGTAAGTTGGTTAGCAGCGAATCCCCGATTAGCACAAAATGTCCAGAAGTTACTCAAAAAATGCTGCAAAGACAATGAAGTGAAAGGTTATGTCCACAATTAGCGAAAGCATCGTGGCAAGGTAATAGAAGATTATTCCGATAGTCAGAACAAACCATATAAACTAGGAGGAAATTTATCCAGATTAAAAAGACCTAGTTTAAGTGTAAGTTGGTTTATCCCATAGTAAAACGTGTGCACTGTTCCAAATTTTCCTAAGCTATGTGTGACCGGTCCCAAGCAGATTCCAATGGGTCTCTGTAATCACATCCTCTGGCTGGACTTTCTCCCCCCTGCTTTGTGAGTCAGGCTTTTGAGCCAAAGACTTCGGGTGGAGTGCCCTTAGCGAACCTCCATATGTCCCCACTGCCTTGTGGGTCAGACTGTTGTGTCAAAGGCCTGTGGTAGCGCACCTTGAACAAAACCCGTGTCTCGGAATGGGCAACCGAAAAGTATCATCTGCCGTCTCGACTCCGTCGACAATACTTCTTGTTTTTCTCTCCTCAAATCTCTACTTCCCTGTGTATTGAGCAAGTGACTGCCACTGACCTCACACCTGCTGCCATAGATACATGTAGCTCCTCTATCAAACCTAAAGTTTCATTTCACATTGGTTCTTTTAATGTCCGCACTCTGGGTTAGATTGGCCAGCAGTTAGCCTAATTCTCACTCTTCACTCTCTTCGAATTGATGTGTGCTGTGTCTCCGAGACACGTATACAAGCTAACAGTGTCATGACAAATCCGACTCACTGGTTCTGAATCTGACGACAATGGCTACATTTCGCGTCTCTGTGGATAGAGTCAATGGCTCAAGGTATTTACGGTGTTGTTATCGCCCTCAGCAAACACGCTGAGGGCAATTTGTTCGACTGCATGCCGGTGAACAGTCGCTTCTGTGCGGTTCGATTTAAATCTCTATTGGAATTATTAAGCACTGTATGAAGACAAGATGCCTTTCCATCGCCCCAGTCTACGCTCCTACTGAATTTAGTTCAGGAGGTATCAAAGACGATTTAACAGCTTTCATCTCTTCGCATGGTGAAGTATACTGACATCGTCGTTGTTGCTGGTAACATGATTGCCCAAGTGGGTCGTCTTTCAGACTATGTACAACACCTGGGCGACCGCTTCGGAGTTGATGCACGTCGAACAGATAATGATGATCGATTCCTACAGCTGTGCACCGACACAACCATTGCATTAGCAACACTGCTTTCCAACATAAACGTTCACACCGCGTCACCTTTAACCCACCAAATTTCTCAATGACTTGGACCCAAATTGACCATATTGCCATCAGCTACGGATGGCACACATCAGTCCGACTGTCGGTCAATTTGGAGCACGTGCCTTGATTCCGACCATGCTCTAGTGCGCACACGCTTGGCGCCTACTCTTCCTGCTTCAAACAAGCGTCTATCTTCTAACCTTCTTACCTGTAACTTGAACTCGCAATCTGCCGTTTAGCAATATCATGACGAACTGGCCCACCAATTGTCAGTGATGAATGAGGTTGATGAGCCGAACGCTGACTGGGATCGTCTCAAATATGTCATGAAGAATCTCTTTTACGCATGCTGCGCACCCCACTTGAGCGGCCGTAACTCTGAATGGATATCTGAGGCATCGATCAGCTTGATCGAGGCACGGAAACTGGTTCCGATGGGCACTGAGTTTCAGCTTGTCCGTAACTCCCTGAAACCACGTCTAGCAAGGAGTCTTTGAATCGACCGAGAACGTTGCTGGATGGCAAAGCCCGTGAGATGGAGGAAGCCAGTGCTATTGGAAATAGCTTATTGCTATTGCAGCTCATCCAGACCACGGGTCTAAGAAGGCTATCATTTAGCGAGACAATAGCAGCGAGAGGCAGACAGTTAATCCATTCACAGCGTCGTCGACTAACCCGTTGGGCGGAACATTTTGAAGAGTATGTCAGCGGTCCTGCTGCGACACTGCCAGTTGCCCAATCGCCTGAGGCGACTTGGGAAATATATGTTACATGCGCTTTGGAAGAGATTTGACATGAACTTTCCGTGTTGGAACGTATTAAGGCTCCTGGACCCGACGACCTTCCTCTTTGATGAAAGATGTTGGTGACTGTTGACTGGACTCGCTTCTATTTAACACGATTTGGAACGATGAAGAGGATTCTTCAGACTGGCGACTGTCAATTGTCGTGTCCATTTTCAAGAAGGTTCCGGGTACTTGGTGCGAAAATCATCCGTTGCATCCAAACTTCTCACAGGTATCATTCTCCGACGACTTACTGGTCTCCGTGAGAACCGGATCACTGAAAGCCAGGCTGGCTTCCGCTCTGGTCGTGGTTGTATCGACCACATATTTCCTCTTCACCAATTGTTAGAGCAGACGACCGACTATGGTGGTTTTCCTTGACTTGAAAGCCGCCTTCAAATCTGTTGACTGTACCAGTTTGTGGCACTACCTATCCATGAA